CAAAACAGAGCGTGCCCGCTCCGACCGGCTTTAAAGGGTTAATCATTAACATATGCATGAAGAGCAGAAGAAAACTAATGTTTGGACTTTATTTTGTTACTGAGCAGCATATGTGGTAAAAGTCTTTGGGTGCTTTTATAATAGGAGACACATTTTCTTATTTCATCCATCAAAAAATAAATGTCTGACAAGTCAAGGCAAAGCCACATGCCAAGGCTGCTCTCCATCTCCCTCAAGCTTTCTACAACCCAAACTCCAGAAAAGCTGCATAAAAAGTAGGAAAACCAAATACTCTGGATCTGCAAATGTAGACCCATTTTAACTGACATTAAAACACAGAACACTGATTTAATATTTTAGTAGATCATGAAACGTATTAGCTCATTATGAATTGGATAAAAGCAGCATGTTTCAAATAAGTTGGAAGTGGAGCAACAAAAGTATACGGTACTAAAAAGAACGTTTCTGAGGAGTAAAGATGGGCGGAGGTTCACCAGTCGATTAAAAACATGCCCTTACCGCTCTCTCCCAGAGAGCCCAGTATTTCCAAAATGACATGTCGGCGTTCAGCATCAGGGGCCTGTTTCAGCTGAAATATCAGCACATCTGCAACATCCAGCTGTGCCAGCGCCTCCCTCGCAGAGTCTGCAAACACATGTGGTCTGTAATCAGCTACAGAATTAGTGACACATCATAATCATAGCAGAACAGCTTATTGCACAGTGAATCGTCTCTGCATGAGAAGGATTTCTTTTTTCATTTCTGAAGTATTAGCCCACCTGCCACTGGGACACACTTTGGTTGCTTTAACCTGGAAGCTGTGTAAGCTGTAATTAGATCACAGTAGCTGAAAAGAACTGTGGCTAAGGAGGCAGAGCAGTTCAACAGGTCAGTGGTTTCCATGATCAAAGTTGAAGTGCTCTTAACAAGATACTGAACCCTAAATTTCTCCAGGTGTGCATGCTGTATTAATACCAATACAATTATAACGCACAGTTTGTTGAGTAGTTCGAGACTAAACTCAAATGCTTTCTTCTGTTAAAAGGCTTTAAAAGATTCCTCTGGCCTGACATGGTTACGGGGACTGTGTCAGCCATTTATCTCTGGCATGTTGCTCACAAAAGAAAACCCTCTGTGCTTCATGTTTAGGGTTGCAGGCAGTGTTGGGTGTAACGCGTTACTGTAATTAAATTACTTTTCCACTGAAAAAGTAGAGTAACTGATTACTGTTCATTTTTAGGTATTTTAATTACAGTTACTTACAATGT